AAAACAGTTGTGCTGCTTAATATTTTTAAAGTCTTTTATGAATAGAAAGTTCAAAAGAAAACCATTTATATAAAATATAAATTATTTGCAATATTATAAATGATACATTTGCCGTCACTTTTGACCAATGCATTCTTGCTGAAAAAAATCTTATAAAAAAAATAACTGACCCCAACTTTTTTAACAGCAGTGTATTCACTCACTCACCCCTCAATGCAGCTGCTCACTCTTTTATTCATCATTCTCTCCACTCAATCCCATCAGTCCACCTATTCACTCACACATCCAATCTTTTATTAATTAATTCCAGAATGAATCCATTCAATGCACTCATTCTTTCATCCATTCTCTCCTCCATCCATCCACTGAACAAGAAAACATTTACTGCAAATAATCTGAAATAGAAAGACTACAATTCACTTATCATGCAAGCACAGTTATGCTATAAATAACTAGAAAAACATGCATTAACAGATTGCACCAACACTTATTAAAGACAGTGCAAAGGTCACGTCTAGAGCCCAACCGATATGGGTTTTTTGGGGCCGATACCATTACCGATATTTGGGAGTAGAAAAGGCCGATATCGATATATCGACCGATATTCTTTGTGTATATTATAGTACAGTACCAGTCAAAAGTTTGGACACTTTCCCATTCGTGTGTCCAAACATTTGACTGGTACTATATATAGAATACAGTATATACATAAACAGAATATATATACATAAACACATTTTTTGCAATGATCACTCAAATGTGGTGATCAAACACTTATAATGACATGACAAAGAAATGTAATGGAGGCAGGGCATTTAACAATTTAACAATAACCTTTATTCAAAGTGAGTCTGACATCAGTGCACTGAACAGTAAAGTTGAAGTTTATTCAACTTTGATTCAATTAAATTCCATTCAACTTTATTCCGTTGAAGTGTATTTCACTTTGGAACATTCATTCACGGATTTGCGCTACTGTCTTCACACACAGACAAAAATTACTAGAGAAGTGTGATATAATTTACCTCTGTAAATAAATATAAATTCAATTCTCGCGCACTTTAATGTCCTTTGAATGCAACGTTTACATTCCCTTGGAACTGGAATCATGGCGGAATTTCATGTGAAGTCCACTTCGCGGGGCACTTACGGTCGAATAAGACGATGCTTGAATGCTGCTACCTGAACAAAAGACCTCCTTACTGACGTGAAAGTGTTGGCTGGTGTCACTATCTTGCGAACGCGCCGGCGGATCTCCACCAAATTCGGGGGATCCCTTCAGCTCGAGGAGACCTCTCGAACACCACCCTCTGCGCGTCTGTAGCCCCCCGGAATCGCTAGATCGGTCGGCGCCGGACTGCGAATTTAACCGCCCGTAACTCCCGAACCCCGGGGGCTATCGACACGGGGGTGGTCTCATTCGAAAGAGGGCCATACACTCGATTCGCATTTGAGAAGGTTCCTTAAGCTGAAGGGATCCCCCGAATTTGGTGCAGATCCGCCACGCTATTATGGAGATATGGCCGTTCAAAGTTTAAATTGTTTTCCATAGACTTAAGCTTTAAAGCGTTTCATCCAGGTCGCCAGTAGCAAACAATGGAGCGCGCTCTGCTGGACAAACTAAGTAATTACGCCATTTCAAGCATTTTATCTGCGTTATATGCTCTGTAAAAATAATTCATATCGGCGGCATATTCGCTGATACCGATATTGGCAACAGGCTCATATCGGCCGATAATATCGGCTAAACGATATATCGGTCGGGCTCTAGTCATGTCCCTTATTTATTAGGGGAGGCTAATAAGGAGCAAGTGTGTGTGCGCACGTTTACCTGTATGCAATTAAAAACTCTCAGAATGCTGGTGATTACTGTAATTGCACTGGTTACGATGGCTGGGGAGGTCAAAGGTCATTGTACAGTCACTGGAATGGAAGCAGTTGCTCGGCAGTAATTGCCATCATTAGCATGGAAATGTAGACTCCAGTTCCAGGAACTCATTCTGACCAAAAAGGCAGGGGACGAAAAAAAAAAAAACCCCTGAAATGTTTCAACTGGAGAATAACTCCAATGGGGGTTACCAAGACTATCCATCTGGACTGCCATGAGATCATGTGAGGCGAGTCTCCCTCCAGCTCCATCAGTAATTGCAGCTTAAGTCATTCAAGACAAAGACACTAGATTCTATCTTAAGCCCATTAAACTGAACAGCACAAGCGTGGGGTACTTTGTAAGGGGAAAAAACAAGCATGAATAATGAAAGCATATGTAAGGAAAAAAAAAAAAACCCCTGAAATGTTTCAACTGGAGAATAACTCCAATGGGGGTTACCAAGACTATCCATCTGGACTGCCATGAGATCATGTGAGGCGAGTCTCCCTCCAGCTCCATCAGTAATTGCAGCTTAAGTCATTCAAGACAAAGACACTAGATTTTATCTTAAGCCCATTAAACTGAACAGCACAAGCGTGGGGTACTTTGTAAGGGGAAAAAACAAGCATGAATAATGAAAGCATATGTAAGATCAGAACGGCTGTGAGCACACACACACACACATCAGTATTAAATAAGAACAAACCTCTAATAGCCAGAACAAATCTAATGGACAAGAATTTAGTTTTACCCCTTTGCCTTAAAGGAATAGTTCACCCCATTATTTACTCACTCTCATGTCATTTCAAACCTGCATGACTTTCTTTACTGGAACACAAAGGATATTAAACAGACTGGGGCTGTCATGTTCCAAAATTACAAAAAGCACCATTAATATATTGTAAAATACAAAACGTGGACTACACTATATTCTAAACAGTCTTCTAAAATAAATATATCTGTGAATAACAGACTGGAGTTTAAGTCATTAGTTACTGAAACTGTTGAAATATATTCTACCTTTCCTTAGCATGTTTAGGAGAGAAGTTGCAATGTCAGATTCATGAACAATTTGTTCTTCTGCGTCAGATGTTTTCAATGAATTAGCTGTTCACAAAATGGATATTTCACAATTTTTTTTTTATTCAGTTACTAATTGCTCACCTTCATGTCGTTCTAAACCCATATGACGTACTTTCCTCTGTGGAACACAAAAGAAGATATTTTGAGAAATGACTAAATGTTTTTATGTCCATTCAATGGAAGTCAATGGGCACTAATGTTGTTTGGTTGGCACCAATGTTCTTTAAAATATAATCTGTTGTGTTCCATAGAAGAAAGACATCATATATGATTGGAATTAAATGAAGGTGAGTAAATGTTGACAATATCAATTTTGGGGAGAACCATCTTTTTCAATGATTCATCCATGAATCGGACTGACCCAGTTCTAACTGATTCAATGATTAATAGTGTTTTTTCTTGATGAATAACAAATACATTTTACACAAAGCACTATAGTATCACTCCAGAAGAGTAATATAGCAATATAGCATACAAATATGAACAACACTTAAGATGCATTTACACCTTTTTGAAGCTTGAAAGCTCTGGTTATCTTTTATTGTAATTGCAAGGTAAAGAATGATCAGTAAATTATATAAAGTTTGGAATTAGGGTAGGTAAATGATGACAAAACTATCCCTATATAAACCTTGGCCGATATGGTTGGTGGATTAACATAAACTATCTGTAAGTACATATTTCATATCCAGCAGTCAGGAGAATTCAATTAAATATCAAATGAAGATTATTGTGGGAAGAAAATGAACAGTGAGCCAATGTTCAGCGTAGCACTGGGCTGGTGAACAATACAGGACACAGAAAGAAAAGGAAATCACACTCTCCGTGCTGTCCTGCTTCCAGGAGAGTGTGGCTGAAAACAAGTCATTGTGTTGGAACAGAGCTTCTGCGGACAGGACTGGACTGGACGCGCTCAGTGGAACAACTTGGAAATGATAAAAGCAGGAAAAACAACGTGTGGATGGAAAAGCCAATGGAACAGCCAGGGAGGTTAAAGAAAGGATACAAACAAGAATGTGAACTCAGTTCACTAAGTAATTCCTATTTCTGATCTTTCACCACTCCTATAGAGCAGGAAAGCACAAAAATACCAGAAAAAATAGAGGGGACAAAAAGATCAGGTCAGTGACCATATTAAAAATCTCATCATCCACATTGGTGCCAAAGACCAAAGTGTCGCAATGAAAAATCAACAGGACTATATATATAATGTATATATATATATATATATATATATATATATATATATATATATATATTTCTGCCAGCCTTTATTCATTATAATAGACAACAAAAACTTATCTGACTGTTTGAATACAATGTTGCTGAACTGCCACTGATAGCATTTGCTGAAAACAACATGACACTCTCTGAGGATGTGATTAGCATTCCTGAAACATTAATGCTGCACTAACAGTCCTTCAGCTGAAATACTTTTCCACAGAGACAAAAAAGAAAGGAGGAAAACTGCAGGAAAAAAATAATATAATTAGTGCACCCTTGTGGTTGCTAACAGAAGTGCAGTGTCAAAGACAAAAGCATTACAACAAAGTATGGTCCTTTTTTACATATGTATAGTGTATATATGTATTTATATATGTATAGGCAGTCATGTGACACTGAAGACTGAAGTAATGATGCCGAAAATTCAGCTTTGCATAACAGGAATAAATTACACTTTTTGACATCACACTCTAAATTGTCATAATATTTTTTTACTGTATTTTTGAACAAATAAATGTGACTATATAGACCACTTTCAATGCAAATTTCAATTTTCAATAATTAAACCAGACTAAATTAATGTGTAAATTGACATCTCTAAAAATAACAAATTACCTCTCAAACACACACACAAACTCGTTCACACTCTCCCTGTGTGTTAGGTGAAGGCATTTTTGCTCTCAGCGGGAGTTCTGGCATTCAGAGTGTTTGAGATGGGAAGCAGGAGGTGGTTCTCGCTGACACACACATACAGTACAAGCCACACAAGCACAACTGCAACACATATAGCACTGCACACACCTACAAACACAAGCAGTGTTACCTGGCAGTCTCTTGAGCGGCTGGAGACGCATGTTGAGGGCCTGGTGGGACAGCAGAGGAGAGGAGGGGAGAGAGCGCGTCACACCCTCCATGATCCGAATGTGCTGCATGCCCTCGGTCACCGGGAGAGGAGGGACAGCGTAATCCCCCTCGAACACACACTCGCCCTCCACAGAGTCACTGCCTGGAGAGTGACAGAAAGAGAGGCAGAGGTCACAAATGAATTCCATAATGAAGCGGACATTCTAACACTTTACGTTAGCAAGATACGCTCAAGAGACCAATCATACGAGCACAGAGAAGGCTCATTTGCATATTGGAGTCACAAACACACGGTTCAGCTTATTAACACTCCGCTATCAGTGTTCCTGAAGAGACGACACCTCCAGATTTAGAAACAGAGAGCAAACAGAAAGAAAGAGAGCAAGAAAGAAAGATTGAACATGATGTCAGACGCCTGTCGCTGTCATGTTTGTGTGAGTGGACATATTGTGCCTTACACACAAACACTGATACACCTATGCAATTTTGATTGTATACTAATTTAACTAACCTCCGTAATGACAGTAGTTGACTTGAAAGTAGTATGACCATAAAATACATTTTTGGTAATATTAGAATGCGAGTACGTGAGTTGCGAGTAATTCAGAACAAGAAAGCACAACGTGTAAATCAGACTTCAGAACAGATTTCAAATAAACATGCCAAGTGTGGAACGGACATAAAAATGATGACTCTAACTAGAAATTCAGATGCCTGAGGATGCCGAATCACATTTTACTCTTGCTGCTGTACTCAGGGAAAGAAGTAAACTCAATCAAAAGATCAACTGGAAACTGATGATGCAGATGAGCGACAGGAATCGTGACTCGTCTGTGAAGGTTCTAGAATGACAGATAGATGACTGAACAAACCGATGGGAGTCAGCTAAATTATTCAAAGGATTCACGGTTTGAGCAGATTTGAGTCTGATTGCTTTTTGAGCTGTTCAGTAGCTCTTTTTGATGCAGACCTGAGTTTAGCACACCTTATTATTTAATTCAGAGCTGCAAAATAAATAAATAAATGAAATGAAATAAATAAATTACAGTTTACAAGCACTATTTTCTATTTGAATACATGTTAAAGTGTAATTTATTCCTGTGACGTTAAATCTGAATTTTCAGCATCATTACACCAGTCTTCAGTCACATGATCCTTTAGAAATCATTCTAATATGCTGACTTGCTGTCGTGTTGCTTAATATTTTTCTGAACTGTGATTTTTATTATTCACTCTTTGATGAATACAAAGTAAAAAAAACAGCATTTATTTGAAATAGAAATCTTTTGTAACAATCTAAATCTTTACTGTCCATTTTGATCAATTAATTTCATTCCAAAAAAATTAATGGAATAAATCTAAATAATTAAATAAATTTTAACTTCTGTATGTCAGATGACAGTGAAGAAGCCCATCACAACGCAACGTGTCTGTTTGTGCTGGCATTAAAAACGCCACCATGGGTCTTTCGTTAACTACCAATTAAACTTCCAATTTCATTTGAGCAGCAGCAGGAGGCTGGAGTTCATTTAATCACTCACATGTGACTCTCATCCAGGGCCTAAAACTAACTTTTTGCCACACCTGCCAATGGCCAGTGACATGATCAAATTTACCGGCCAAAAAGGTTTTTTACCGGCCATGAAACTCTTTTTGAAAAAACAGGCTGTTACTACTACTACAATGACTAAACATATTTACAATAATTTTATTGCTGGTGCATTTCCCCTCAATTTTACCTATTAATTATAGCCATTCAACATTACAGTATAATTGAAAGCCATTATTTTTAACATTTAA